GATGCTACCACAATCGAGAGTGCTTAACGCATGGAAACTGAGTTAGTGATCGATCCTTTTAAACTCTCCCGAGATAAGCGCTCAAAACTGTTAAACATTTTGCCCCAATCGTAGAATTCCAGATGACCTTATATTGGCATTCCGTATCTCGAATGGCGATTTGAATTTTATCATGTCGTATCCTCTTGTTTCCTTCAGAATCAATCATATCTGAATCCGCACCAAGAAGGTTCAAAAACTGCGACCAAATACACTCGGAGTGGGATTCCGTTTTCTTCATTGAGCTGACAATGATTGGAATGCCCTACTCGAACAAGTAGTATCAGCCCTAGCAGTAAACGCCTTTAAGGAAAAGCTGGAATTTTAGTGGACAACGAGCTGTAAGGGTTACATATATCAGACGACCTACTACATTATTAATGGAGACTGAAATCAATTGGTAATCTCAAGAACATAAGTGGTGATTTAGTTTTAAATGGGTCATCATGTAGTCCTCATGAATGAAGTTGCTTAGTGGATAACGCTTCAGGATCAATCTAAAGACGCATAGATATTTTACTCGCATGACAATCAGTGTGTTCATCACGCCAAATACAAATCAAGAACATATATACAAAAACATTCGTTTACTTGGGACTACATTCCTATAATAACACTCCATAGACGCACCTCAAAGCATCTTCCGTCGATGGACATACTTCGTAGCCTTGGTAGTATGCTCTCTCAAGATTAAATGTTGCACTGTAAACAACCCAAGACATTCTACCCACAAATTGCCATGTGTATCAGAATCAACAATTTGAATCAGTACAAACTTCTTTGGTGTCCAGAACTACATTTAGTCGGCATATCCACTGTGTACATTTAAATCATCCGTATTTAGAACTAAAACCACAGGTTTTCCAACATTACTCACCGCGACTCTCGTGGCTAAACGAAAGTCCTCCCACGATAATTTATAACTCCTGCAAACTCTAAACTCTTCATAGTCGAATGCACAATCTTCCCCTCCAATGATTCTTGTGAAGTTGTAGTTGCCTGCTTTTCCCGACGAGAACGCGATTGGTATAATGGAAACAATTATTATTATAACCAATTGTACCAGTGATTGTTTTACTGTACTCGTTTTTGTTGAACTGTATCAAAATCACTTCTCCTTCCGTTGTCCATCTTGTTTATGAGGACGCTCTTTCGCTCTAGCGTTTTGACTGTTATTTTTGGCATGTCTCGGTATTCTTTCGAAACCACGAGATCGCTAACAAATATACCATATTGCAACCATTAACATTGTTTTAGTTTTTGGCTTATCGAGGGATCAAAGTCGATATCTGGCACTTAATCTTCTTGTAGTGGTGATCTTAGTCAATCGCGACTCGACGCCATCTACATCTAGTGACCCAAAAATTCAAACACGTTACAACTTCTGGCAAACCATCCAAAGAAGATTACCACAGTGAGTCTATTATCTATCTATCCACTTTTATAATAATAATAATAATAATAATATATTTCTGCATTAGCAGGTACACGCCATTTTTACAGGCATGATCTACAATTTACAACATATACTGGTTCACAGTATGCATCCCAAGCAAGGTTGTTTAGTAATTATAATCTATAAAAGTTGATAGCAGTTCATTCGTTCAGATATAATGTGTTTTCATAAGAATAGTTTCCAAAGGGGCATAGCGTCCACGTTATATACCAGATCCAATCTCGACAAAAAGTGTATTAGGGTTTCGGTAGTTCTAAGTATTTATGTAATGCAGCTTTTTAAGTTTATAGTTGTTATAAAGTAGGCTTGTGGAGCGCCTGGTTTGAGCTATGACCTTGGGAAAGCGCGTTCGTCAAGCTTTTTCCAGATGTCAGGAGTTACATAGCTTCACCCTCAGAGCAAGATTCTGAAGAGAAAAAATAAAAGAGAAACCGAGGAGCAGCAAGGCATTTGGATATGAGCGATAATCAATGCTTAACATTTATTAGTGGAACAGATGGAGGTATGATAAATTATTAGAATAAATTGATACTAGCTAATGTTGCAAGAGTAAACTGCGATTAGGGTCTCCAGAAGAGAGAAGGCAGTAATAAAGAACAATGAGTTGTTATATTTATCAAGGTGGAGTAGGTTCCAATGAAGGAGGGAAGTCAAGGTTGGAATGAGGAAGAACAGAGAGTGCATATAGATGGTAGTGTTAAGTAAAATAGAAACCATATCCTTTACAGTCAGTTTTTTTTCTTTCTTTTCTCATCCGATGCCTGCCACACAGTGTTCATGTAAAAGTCCGAGTTAGCATGTTAAAGGTTGTCTTAGTAGAATAGTTAATCCAGCACAAAAATTGGAAACATGAGTCTTAATGGTGAGTGTAGGTGAACAATCTCAATATCACAGATCTATTGACTTGTTCTCATCCATAAAGAGCCTGATACAAACAAAATGTTCTGCCCCACAAACACGGGTGGATTGAAATCATCGCCCACACCATCAGTGCTTGCTGGTCAGTAACTCCACCCTCCCTCCTTTTGTGATGTTAGGCTCATTTACGATTATTTTTTGGATATATATCATACCTCACACAATGCTCTGTGTTTCACATCCTGTTGGAAAACACTATTTCTATAAGTACCATGTTACAAGCTTATCAGACAGTTACAAATTATGGACTGTGGGTAAGGCTTCGATGCTATGTTTTTATTGACTATATAGTGAAGTGTAGGTTACGAATCAGAGTATAGGCATTAGGAAGGGTATAGTGTAGAATATTTCTTTACCATAGTAGGCAGAAAAATGGAGATTTATATTAGTTACAGATAAGGTAAGATAACGAGTGGTGAAATAATATTGATGGCAAGGCAACATAGTGTACAGATGAGTAAAAAACTGATAAATAGACAAGAAGTAACTCACACTAAATTCGCGCTGAGGTTGTTTTGTTCTATGCTAACCGGTTGATGGGTGGCAGTAGTCAGTCGATTGTGCGTTTCTTCTGGTGTTTTAGGGTATTTATGGGCATATATTTTGTTGCATATATTCGAATTGATATTTTTCAATATATAATATTCTGGCAGCAACTCAATGTGCTGGATAACTGTAAGAATGACATTAATATAATAGACTCAGAGGTACAGGCAATTCATTTTCGACCGGTTCTCTTTATTCCCCACGATCCAGAAGTTTGGTTCGCTGCACTGCAATCGCAATTCGAGATCCGCTGCATTATAAACCAATAGCAAAAGTATGCCTACGTTCTCGATACGCTGTCAGGTGATCACTTAACTACTATTCGTGATGTCCTCTATGCAAATGTACCTAACGTTTACGATCGTCTCAAGAAGGCAGTCCTTAGATATTTCCCCCCTTCAAGGGAAGAACAATTGAGGACTTTATTTGCACATCACCCGGTGGGTGATGCTAAACCGAGCAACCACCTCAAGCGCCTGCAATCTCTTGCAGGACCCGCGACATCCAATTCCGAAATCGTTAAGAAATTATGGCTCGAATCTCTGTCAGCACATATACAAACGACAATTACGGCTCTGCTATGGGACACCCCGTCTAACCAAATGGCTCTCATAGCAGATAAGATATTGGTACGGATTCGCACCCGAGACAACTATATAGCTGCCTCAAAATTACGTTCGAACATCGATCTCGATGCTAGTCGACCTACGGCTCACGGTGATGGGGAAAAATGCACTCAAACCCGTCTCATTTTTCGCGACCCATCAAATATACCAGAGCCCTACGTCTCCAGGTCACGCCCCCGTAGAGCCGTATCAACTTGCCCTAAGCAGGCATCCCCAAGCCGCGTTTTTGCGCGGCTTGGAAAGCGATCTCTGGTTGGTGCTGAATCCGTCGCGCCTCCGGGTCCGGTGCCCACCGTTGTCGAACCCCCTGGCCATACGAGGCGGGAAACTCCCGAGCCGGCCGTACTGGCCGGCTCTTCACCTCAGGTTGGCCGTTTATTTTATGTGCACGATTATCACACTAACGCTAGATATCTAGTGGATACAGGTGCCCAAATTTCTGTCGTACCTATCGGTTACAGTAAGTCTCAAGCTACTCCGAAGAGAACTTCACAACCAAGATAATAAGCTGTCACTTCATCAGGATCTGACTCAACTTCAATGTTGGACGGACGACAACAGACTTATCTTTAACAATTCAAAGTGTAAAGTACTCCACCTGAGACATGTTACAGACTACGACTACAACTCGGGTAACTCCCCTCTAGAGGTACCTCAAGTTGAAAACGATCTAGGTGTGTTGGAACTCTGTTGGCTGAAGTCTCACACTAAACGTGACACAAGAAGGCTTTCGAGCAAACCTTGTACTGGTAAAGTCGAAGCGCACCTTTGGCCAGTGTAACGTAAGAATTTTCCACATAGTCTTCACTAGTTTCATTCGTCTCCATTTAGAGCACGGAAACATAGTACTCACTCCGAAAGGATAAAGATACTCTGGAACATATTTAACAGTGAGCCACGAAATCAGTCCGGGGACTCTTATGAAGGGTGACTTTAACCATTGGACTTTAACATATTAGAGTATAGACATCTTAGAGGTTACCTAATGACTTACAGTATCTTTAACACTTCTGAGAATACCCTTAAACACCTATTTAAGCTTAAACTCAACACGAACCTTAGAGATAACATCCAAATACTGTAGACACAACCCGACAGAAAGGACTGTAAACACACCTACTCCTGAGGAGTAGTCAAATGCTGAAATTGGCTGCAGGCTGAGATAGTTCAAACGACTTCTCAGGAGTTCCTTAAGAGAAAACTTGACAAATTCTTAAGGACTAGAGACAGTATCTCACAATGTTTTTCTCTTTTCTTTTTCCTCTTTTATCGTCAATATACTTAAGTTCCTACATGAATGCATTGATGATCCACTAGATGCGGTAGGCCGTTAGGTGAAAGCTTCTCCTATTCCATTCAGAACCATTTGAACCATTTGAGTATTCCTTGTCCTTGTCATTTGGCGGTATTTGGGAATGTCGCGCCTGTTTTTCTACAACCAGATCAAAGAAGTGATTAACCGTTTGCCTCCTCACTATAAGAAGAGGTATTTACAAAACCAGTGTGAGTTGGCCAATGAAAGAGTGTGCAATTCGTCACTACTTAAATCTGAAACAGGAAATATGTATGCTGACTTACTTCTTTGCGCTTACCGTTTTATCTAGTATTCCTAGTTCATACTTTGATACTCCTATGAAAATTGTCTATCCCCCTGAGTCTCAGAAATGCCTATGGGGTGGTGAGGGTATTATTCAAGGTTACTGGGAGAAGAAAAACCAGAAGCCAAGGTTTGCCAAAATTAGGATTAATTTTTGCAAGATTTCCCAAGACATGGAGTCCTGTTCTCATGGAAAACTTATTTCATAGTGAAATTCTTGACCGTTGGATGATTATAATAGTGACAGATAGTGCTCTAAAACAAATCGAAAAGGCCAGTGGATTTGATTTCTATATACTCTCGGTTTGTCCATACATATACGTTTTATTGTTTTTCTTAGACTCCAGAATCAAAACTTAAAAGTAGGCTTGGAATGCACTTGAAAAGAGATATGCTGGTAACGCTTGCAAAGGCAAAGATGAATGGTAAAATGGAAAAAGGCTGGGAAAAGTATTCTAAATTTATTATACCTGTGAGTCATGTATTTCTATTTTTACTACAATCAGTTGTCAGATGACTTACGAGTCGTTAAGCTTTTTGGTGGCATCAGAGAGTCAGTGTGTTCATCTTTTATACACTTCATACCTTTTCGCTAGACGACTCATTCAGTACCACCCTAGTCTAAATGCTCAGGAACATCCAGGTTTTGTTCCTCAGTTTGTATAATCGTCAGCCATTTCAAAGTTCGTCACTCCGTAGGTTTCTTTAACAGGTACTCACAACAGAACTGCGTGGTCATTGATCTAGTTTTCGTGCAGTTTCAGAATAGATATGTCTGGTTTTCTCGTGTTAGAATTACAATGCGAATAAAATGTGTTATGTATGGAATCCAGATACTAAACGCTTATATTAACACTACTAGGTTTGTAGTGTATACTTTATCCAAGCTAAACACAGTTGTCGTTTCATGTGTAGGAACGGTGAGATGCCATTCGAAAGCATCACATGAGTCAAGTTTTGTCGAATAGTATAACGTCGCTATCTATTTTCTAATGAAAAATAGGTTTTCGTGACGGGAAGAGGTGTAAATCATTAGGAAGTGCCTCTAAACAGAAAATCATAACCTACAACTATATATTAAGTGGCTATCAGAAATTTATAGTAGTAAACACATCCTTTTATAGTAAGGTTTTTGTTAATCTATTTGGCTGGGCTATGTAGTAGCATGAACCACACCGTTAGTATTCATTTCAACCTTTTTCGTCAAATACCTTTCTTCAGTTAGTCATTTTTGTCTTAAATCTTGTGTATGTTTGCTTTGTTGTTCAGTTTTTGAGATAAGTTTTAGTCGTTATTGATCTCGTCGTTTATCGTAACCAATGGTTCGAGACTCTGGGTGACATGGCCCAGAATCGATCATAATGACATAGGTGTATACACTGTCTGTCTCCCGTTAAACCTTGAAATTAAAATTGCTTCATACCTTTCTTTCTACCAACTAATTTTTCCTGTATTATATCCCTATACACAATCTTTCTTTTATATATTACTACCATTGAAGTAACTGCTATGAATTTGGTGTTCGTCTCGTTGTGCTAATAAAGTGTAGCAACTTGGACCGATGCATATATGTGCCTGGTCCTACATTGTAGCTGACTGACCGTCAATACAACGTACATTTTTGTTTTCAAAAATAGTTATAATGACATCATAGATTAATAACACACTGAAAGATTATGGTGTTATCAATTCTTGCATATCATCCTGGAATTGATGCTGATGGTCAGGTCAGGTCAGGTCAGCTACAACGTAGGACCAGGCACATATATGCATCGGTCCAAGTTGCCATACCTCGTTAGCACAACAAGAGGAACACCGGATTCATAGTAGTTAATCTAGTGTTGGTAGTAGTATATAAATTATAGGTTGTATATAAGGATATAGTACAGGAAGGAAGAGAGATATGAAGCAATTTTAGTCTCAAGGTTTAAGGGAAGATAAAGAGTGTATACACCTACGCCATTGTGACCGATTCTGAGCCATGTCACCTAGAGTCTCCAACCATTGGTTACGATAGTCACGCGGACCCCAACCAGGTAGTCTGCATCTGCCAACATGGCTCAGGCTAGAAGTTAGTGACTTCAAACACTGATGCCATGTTTTGGTTTGGCCGCCCCTAACTCTCTTCCAACCGTCCCCAATACTAGTCATCATAGCGCGTCGTGGTAATCGGTGTTCAGGCATACGTAGCACATGGCCCAACCATCTCAGTCGACGAAGATTCATCACCTCATCAACTGATTTACCATCGTTCCCTAATACCCTGCGTCTAACCTCACTATTACTTACCCGGTTATCCCAGCAGATGCGAGCAATATTTCTAAGGCATCTGTGGTCAAATACTAGTAACCTACGAGTATCTTCTACTCTTAATGGCCATGTTTCACAGCCGTAAAGTAGGACAGAGCGAACTGCTGCGCAGTATACTCGTCCCTTAATTGATAGACGGATATCTCGTCTACGCCATAGGTGACGTAAGTTGGCAAAAGCCAAACGAGCTTTTTGAATCCGTGCTGAGATTTCGTCTGACACCAACCCATTAGGGCTGATCAGACTTCCAAGATAAGTGAAGTTGTAGACACGTTCGACTACTTCACTCCCTATCCTTAGTTCGAGTGTTGACGCAGGCCAGTCCTGGAGTAACAATTTACATTTGGATGGGGAGAAACACATCCCAAACATCCTGGCATTATTACTGAGTTCCAACAGAAGACTCTGCATTTTGCCAGCGTCTTCACCAAACAGGACTATGTCATCTGCGTATTCTAAGTCGCTTAGTGGTCCCCCTGGTAGGAGATCAATTCCTGAAAATTCAGTCGATGAGAGTGTTATTTCCAGCAACAGGTCTATAATGAAGTTAAACAAAAATGGGGATAGTGGACAGCCTTGACGGACACCACTTGAGGTTGTAAAATCATATGACAGTTCGCCATAAGCTGATGGGCCTGCTACCTTATTGATTAATCCAGAGCATAATAGTTTATGATACAATTTCACTGGGATTGCTTTATCGACTCTCGATTTTCATCAGGAGAGGAGAAATTTTGGTTTTTACACACTTCTATATTTTGATTTCTTGTGTTTTTTTATTGTACTATGTTGTTTACGAAATTGAAAGGATAAAGAACGAATGTCCGACGCTTTAACCGGGTCAGTAGATATGAAGGATCCACCTAGGGGAGTTGGAAAATTCTTATTTTAAACCTATGGTACATATGGGCTCCAGGATCCTGAGGGAACAAAAGGCGTATGAACCTATTATTGGTCACTAACTACCATGAGACTGCACTTCATAACGTTGCTCCACTGCCTTGTGCATCAGACCTTGAGGTCAAAGGCTTCGGGTGTGGTCCACTAAGAAAACAATCTGATTCGGTTTTGACACTCAGGCAGTATCACAGCTCTCACACAAATCAATGATAACTGCCGATGACTTCATTTTTATTGTGTGGCGCACATTTATTTGATGCCCCCTTGTACCAATGTTTATGTGTTTAAATAAAATATAGCCGAAATTAACGAAATCTGCCATCAAATTATAATATTTTGTATCTTAGGATGTTTAAAACTCACAACATTTGGGAAACGTACTAACATTTAGTCCAAATTGTATAAAGGAATAATATTTATCCTTTCAATACTCGTTGTTATGGTAGGTTGTTCATCTATATGACAAAAATCAAGTCATTCGTTGTTCAGTTAAAGTTGCTTTTCACATCAGACTTGAATCCGAAGTTGACGTAACCCACCCCACAGAATCAAACTTGAAAATTCCAGAACCGGAAGTAAAAGTGACATCTTTACATCACTTATCAAAGACCTAGTGATCCATGCTTAGAAGTTCAGCCAATTTGTAGTATAGTATGGTCATTGTTTACTACATATTAATGTATCTATCTCGATCAAATTTTACTATGTTGTACATATTTAGATTTGTTTCTATGGTCACCCTAATCTTAACACTTTTATATAGTTAGAAGAAGCTGAGTGGATTGGTTTAACACTCGAAGAAGCTGTTAAAAAACAAATGAAAATAGAACATGAAATATCCAGAAGTCAGCTAAAGCCACTAAAATTCAGTTTAGCGGAAAAACTGATTGACAGTTTAAGAAACCCTGTCAAAGGTGAGAAAGTTTAAAGATAATTGTATCACCAAGCGTTATATATTATGCAACGTTTTGTTTTTCACAAGTTAAGGTTTCCTTGATCTTTATCTATGTAGTTTTATTATTCGCAAAATACAATATAAACAACCAGTTAAAATGTCCTAGGCATTTTTCATCGTGGACTAACGCCTGTTATAAAACCTTCAAAAATCAGGTAACACTGGACATCTACTTGGTTTTGGTTTCAGACTGTTCAACAGTTGTAGCAGTAATGCTTATGACAGTAACCAAAAACCATGCAGTTTATCGTCACTATAGTTTGTCAGAAAGAATAATGCACGAATATTATTATATTTTCGTTTAATGCATCAGAGAATACATCAGATAATCTAGCTTCTTGCTTATGCTACTGGTGAGTTTCAATACAAGTCTTTAATGGTCATTGTAGAAATCAGACCTTATTTATGTGGTTTATCCTCGATTACTTTCTACCATTCATCGTTTAACCATGCGTTACAATGCAGGACAAATTGTATATTTTAGTCCGCAGTTTTAGTGTAACCCCGATGAACCAAGTATCAAAAATGTCAGTAGCAAACAGCCTGTTTCTACAGATCTTACATCTTTTAATACGTTTACTTATTCTTAAAATCTTTGACTAATCAACATCTCTTTCAATTATTTATACTTAGATAAGGATGAAGAAACTCCGTCCAGCTACTCATCTCGAATTTTCAGTTGATAAACCTTTGACAATAAACAAATATGATACGTCTCTTTTCTCGGAGAAGCTCAGATTTGTAATATAACAAGGAATTCACTATCATTTTGTATCTACTTTGTATGTACAGTCGCTAAAATAATTTCTAAAAATCTACTGTTTGCAACTGTTGTTTGGAGTTTTAATTGCTTAGTAAACAAATATTTTATCTAAGGTTAGATAATATTGCTAATGTTGTTGTTCAACCGAAATTTTTATAAAAAATGTATGTAACCAATGTCTGTTCTACTTTATCTTGTAAGGTCTCATCGACATACGGAGTTTATGTAACTCATCGTCTAATAAGAACTGAAACAGGGATTTGATAAACCGTTTGTCAACAAACTCACCACAATGAATGTTTTAGCTACACATATGAAAACAAATATTCCATCCGTATCTTGATTGTATAATATTTAAAGTGTGTATTTTGAATTGTGATTTTTGTTATTATGTTTTCTATTGAAAAAAAAACAACTGAAATTCCATTAGTAATTATCCTGTTTGGACATCTTTCATTACCCAAACGTTCTATTCGAATCTGCTAAGAACGAAGTTTTAAACCCTATATGGGAGCACATTTCATTTTTTTCAAACAACATTATTAATAATAGATACTTAAACCCTGATGTGTTTTAGTGAATTAAATGTTATTGGTTACTAAGTGTGAACTCAATATACTGACTATTGAATATGTGATTTCTTTTCCTCCTATTGATCTCGACTCCGAACTCAATGAAGGTGGTTGCTTGTAATTGTGTAAAATAAAGCATTGTCTAGCGTTACCCTGTTTTTCCCTTTTTGATCGTGAATTAGGTATCTGATATAACTTTATTGTCATATAGTGTATCGTTCGAGTATCCAATCTAGCGGTATTATGAACCCGGTCCAGACTTATTACCATATTATCATAGTAGCGTAGTACATTCGATCTGTTAAATCAGGGACATATGAAACAGTTAAGTAATCACGCAGATTTCATTGGTTTTTTATTGGAGTTGATAAGTAGTGAGTTGAGCATATTCTTTTCGGTTAATATTAAGACTGTAAAGATAAATAATAGGACTTTCTGCAAACTATGCTATGGCTCTCTGATTGAAGTGACTTTTCGTGCAAGTTTGACAAATTCACGAGACATGTTCTCTTAAACCAACAGTTTGTGCTCAATTTCTGTTGCAGAAATGGCAATATCTCATTGAAACATGGTGCATCCGATGTCTGGACATTCAAACTAATAGACATACAACAACTTGATTGGTAAAATTTGATTAGGACTAAGATCTGAGCTAATATGATATTGGTTATGATTTCGATCAACCAATACAATTTTAAGCAGCATTCTCACTAAAGATAAAATTAAAATAGAATATGTTCAGGGTTGTATTCATCTTCGAATTCTTGGAAGTGATTGTACCTTAGACTACAAATTCAGATCAACTAAACTCGAAATTGCTCCTTTATTAAAGCAGTGACAAGATAAATCCTATTTCCATAATACTGAAAGAATTGTCTTTCATGTCCGTTAATAGATCGAAATTCGTTATTCAACCAAAAATGCGAAACTTTCATCCCAAGTTCACTTTATCAGTAAATTCTCGAGAATCTACAAAAATTTGTCACGATTTCTCCGCAAAAAACTGATTCACTACCATTGCATATACTGCGTATATCGAAAATTTTTTTTCTTCTGCCATTGTCTTGGAAATGCTTACACCAATGATTACTATCGTAGTTTACTAGGGATATTATAATAGCACCAAATGTCGAAGCACTCTAATGAGTGAACCTACTAAAAACTTGCATTTCTATATCTTCACTTTCTTACGAGCATATATGACGAATCATTCATGTTATACCCTATTGACTACAAACATAGCCCTAATTATACTGTTCACTACATTATTGTAAGAATGTATACAGGGTAGCAGATTAGTTTAGGAAATGTTCACTAAGAAACCGTTGATAAAATATATGTAAAATGAGGTTTATCACAGCGACTTTTTCTCTTCCTATTCTTTGTTTTCATTTCCTTCAGTTTTAGATGCTAATATGAACCTTGCGATTTGACTGAAACCAAATAACATTGCAACGCTTATTTTCTTGAGATGGTGGAGAAGATTTGTAGCTCATAGAACAAAACTCTGTCAAAATATTACTTTCTTGCCCTTCACAAAGATGGCGTCAGGTAATGATGAACACGGAAGTGTCGTAAAACACCCAGTTGTATTCTATTGATTAAACTATTTACTATAATTTCCATAACAAAAGTATGGCATCCATCGTTCCGAAACAAAGTACACTATATTTATGCTACTTTTCTACAGTACACGTTTTTCACACACTGCTTATTAAGAATAACTCCATCGTTGAAATATTTACAATTATTACGTTATGTATTCCGAAAATAATGTTGTACTTTAACATGATGTCACTTCTTACCAAAAATGTTTTTTATGATAACAAAAGAGGTCCAAGTGGAATTCCCATTTAAATATCAGATGATAGTTTGTTAAATAAACTAATTTTAAGAGATTACTGGGAAAAAATAAACTGCCACTAGAGAGAACATTTACAAGTTCATCTTATAAATCAGAAAGAACCATGCTAAAACAAAAATCGTGAAGGATAAATAGTTAACTAAAGAAAGTAGCTGATGGTTAAACATAACACTTAATTGTACATTTTAAAATAAACTTACTAAGAAACCTACATACCTTTAAGATATTCATACCCTAGGAAGTTGGTGGTACTTCATAAAATGAGTTTAGATGGTGACAGCAGTACGATGAATGTTCAAATTTAGTTGTATTATAAGCAATGCTGGAAATCATAATAATGTAGGTAGAGAATACATGTTGAGTCACGTAAACCAACAAAATTTTGCCACTTTTGGAAAAATAAGTCGATATCACATTGTAATTCAATTTGCAGTGATTCGAATCATCCCATTGTTGATGTTCCTAATTGAAATGTTGGTCAGTATCAGTTAGTATGTGCACATTCTATAACGAGTCAAAAATCAGACGAAACGCGCGTCTTTGATTCAACTGCGAGTTACATTTCATCTCTTATGGAATACATTACACCGGTTACTGCTAAGTGTGATCAGTCGGTAAAGAAAACAAGGGTTCTTATTAATTCAATCAATAGGATATATTTCACAAAACTACGATATTTTCAGGAGCTTGGAACGGATAAATTTTGCTTAGTTAGTGGAATTTCACTTTTATGTATTCATAAGAAATAATTAATAATCACGATTTCCTTCCGTAACGGTAACGTACCAATCACGTCCGAATACTTTTTCCCACTACTCTATTATGTTAGTAAGTGCTTTCACACGGATAAAGGCTATTTGAACACAGTGACGAATTACATTTTAAGAATTCGATAGGAAGATAGTTTATTTATTAAATTAACGTATAAAGTTTACAAAAAAAGCAGTAGTTTATACCGATAAATTAAGATATTGAGGAAAATATATGTAAAAATATTTAGGAGGAAATTATTGAATTTGAAGTCATCGCGTGTTATGTATCAAAGAAATTATGATAAGGTCAGATTGAATTCTTAAAGTTTGTTTTCTATCTCCATATTTACAATTCGCCTGCTATAACTAAATTTACATATCTTGCGGCTAATGATGAGTCCCATTCAACACTCTACAATGTATGGAACAATGAGAAAATTACAAGAACACCAAAACAATCATTAAATTGCAACGAGGAAAGTGTTATATCACTCTGTTTAAACTTAATAAATGAATGGTAACTTGTTTATTTTTACATAGAGGAGTCTTAAGTCCCATTGTGAGCCTAGGCTTGGAGCCTGGACGACAACCTTAATCTACAGGTGAGAACTTTTAGGGACATTCCCTAAAATCGGTTGCAGTTCCTAACAACCTGTGTTTTCCACTGAATCTTAGTTTTAGCATAATCTCTAACTCTTCATTTCTCAATCCCATTTGTTTCTTTAAAAACATATTTCTCGTGCCGAGATTTGTATTGCATTTTGTGTTATTTCCCTTTCTGTTCTATTAATCTTGTCGAACTCCGGTCATTTTGCCATGGCAACATGGACTGACACAAATTCATCCTCAGTGATGTTATTAACTGACTGACTTATTCCAATGTTGAACCAGTCAGCCATGCAATTATTTTTTCCATTGTGGTTCTAGATGAAATGAAATATGCTTAAAGTGTTATATTTTTGTGAATGATCAGTTTTTATGATGAAAGTTCAAATAATGACTTTATAGTCTCTCAAGTCGGTGATATAAGGTGATTGGAAGCACCAATCGGTACTTGTTATTTATTCATCCATTATTATCGTATCATTCTGCTTGGTCACATCAATTTATTTATTTGTTGCTGTTTTTCCTTATATTTAGTATTCAGCATCTTTTTAATCACTAGCATATTCACTATCAGAATCCTATGAATCCATTAGTATATTGTCATAAGTTTTGCTGTCACATTCTAATATTGCAAACACCTATAACCAATCATCAAAATCTTTTGAATAAATATTTTTAAAAACTAAACAATCTTATTAGATATCTGAAACTTGGTTGGCTGTAATATACTTTCGAGTTTAATAATAAGAACTAGGGACATTGTTAGAATAAAGAATATTTTCATACTAGTTTACGTCCTAAATGAACACTTTAAACATCTTTTTTAATGAAAAGCATTTAAGAAATTAAATGAAACAAAATGCAATGAATTTATTTTATTCTTTAAAACGTTTAACTCTTGGCCTATTTGTGAAAAAGAACTGAAGTTATAGCAATAGCTTGATGATACGATCACAGTTAAATAAACGAACCAATTGTATGAATGTAAAACAATACGTGAAGTAAATGTACAAACCTTGGAGAATAGTTGATTAGCTAATAATTCATCTTTTTGTACACCTTTACCACTTTTTAGGCATAATGCATAAAGGAAACATGCCATTGACATAGCTCGACATTGAAATGTTTGTATACATTCTGATGTCATAAAATTATCACAAGTTACCATTCTGTTGTGAAAGAGCATAGAAAAATATTTACAAAACAATAACATGTTAATTAAGTTTGTAAAGCTAATGTATATTCATGAATTACTTAGAATAGGTAAATCATTCAAATTAGATAAAAGATAATTTTCGTGTATTTTCATCGTAGCAATTCTTATGGTATTGAAGTTATTCAAATCAGCTAGCAGTTCGTGGTAAAGAACAGTGAATAAAGAAATTAATGTTAGGTAAATAATTGTTCCTTGCGTTTTGGCGAAATTCTTGTGAAACAACAACGTGAAATTATATTTAGGCAAGTCACAAACGAGTCAGATTATTAGATCGCAAATAACATTCACTTCTCGAATTCGAAGTCATCCTTCAGTGTGTTTATTTGCCCATCAACGTAACCTATTTTACTTAAAATAGTTTTCATATTTTAACCAAGTATGATATTTGTTGACTATAATTGATTCAAAAGTGACAAATTCTGTATTTGATAGTAATAGCAAGAAATTATCCAAAACTTTTCTCCGTGATCAACAAAAATTATTTTTCTGTTAAATATTAGAATTTTCATCAAGATTTCATAATAATCACTTAAACGGAACCAGAAATTACGGAGAAGCATTTCTAGTTTGATTCTGTTGATTCTAAGTAGTCTGTAATCATCAAAATCTTCATATTGAAAATAGAAACGAAAGATAGTCCTCCACTGAATACCGGTGTTCAGTTTACAGAGAAGTTTAGCAAATTCAAGTCAGAACTTATTGCTTTATATATCTTATCAATTCTTATAATAAAGTAATATAAGTCAAGAAACAATCGTAATTCATATTATGTCGTCAATCAATTGAAATAGTAAATTTAAACTAATCTCATTCAGAAGGCTTGATGGGTATGCAGTGTGTTTTAACAAGTGCCTTAGATATGTACTGCTAGATTTGCTGAGCGGCAGAAAGAAGCTTAGTTTTTATTAACTTTCATTATAAATAAAATCTCAAGTTGAAATTGTCTGATGTTCCCGTTTAGCAATAATATAGAAAGTAGGGTCAAGTTCCAGATGAATACATAAACAGCTGATGTCTAGTGTTGAGGATATTTAGAAATAAATTTTCCAATATATATGTTTACATCAGTAAAACTTTTAATGAGGCAAGAACAGTGGACATTTACTTTTTGATTTAAACTTGAAATTTATTTGGAATATACAGAGGATTCTTTAGACTATTAATCTCTTCACTTCTACTAGGAGTACTTTCATGAAAGTATCGGTTAAGCATTGTGAAGATGTTAATGGTATTCCACTAAACAAGTACAAAGTAACAATCAAAATAAAATGATATTTTAATTCTAACGTCAGCAAACTTGACCATTAGAGCTCAAAAATGCTTAATAGCTATTTCTTTAATGGTCTAATAAATGATAAGATAATGAATCATTCTTCCATTCAACCACTACAACGAAAATGATTCGTCAAAATAAAAAAGAATTATGTCGAATAGAATAAAATGATTATTTGGTTTATGCTATAATTTTGACAGATATAAGTAGTATGTAATACCAATCGGAAGTGGAATGCTTGGCAGCAGAAGATTGAATCGAAGAGAACAGAAATACAAATAGAGAGTAATTGTGATAACAACAGAATTGAAGGAATCATGAAGTATTTAAAGAAAAACTGCTGGAAGATGTGCAAATAATGTATATGTATATAATAGCAAAGCACTGTAATTTTACATTCAATAATAAATTGGTTTCCCACACTTGAGTCCTCGTTCATTACGATTACAGTTCCATCCGACGGTTGCAGTTAATTTAAACAACAAACGAGTACAAAAAAATTCTTTGTAAATATGTCGTTATCGCTGAATATGTGGGTTTAATAAGGAAGAGAATGATGAAATGGAATCCGATACTAAGAATTGATAAAATTAGCACGCAATATACTGAGACGCCATTCGTTAGAGAAAGTTTGATGATAAAAGCTGTACATTTTAAAGGGATTAATATGTTTCGTTGTTCTTAGAAACGAAAGTAATCAATTATTTTGATATTTAGAAAATAGATCAGAGGGGGTTTTGTGGAGAACTTAGTATTTTCACAGTTGAAATCATGAGTCAATTGAAGCTAGACCACCATCGAAAACCTGGAAGCACTGGACGGCCGTTTCGTCCTATTATGGGACTCCTCAGCAGTGCGCATCCACGACTCATGATTTCAACTGTGAAAATACTAAATTCTCCACAAAACCCCCTCTGATCTATAATCATATGCTCACTAGTGACTGACTTCAAGAGATATTTCCTTGAGTTCTAGTGGGAAGCAGTGGCCAGTGGAGTTCTACCAGGTCTGTTGTAGAGATATCATCTCACTGAGGACAATTGGTGAACGGTCGCTCAATATCGTGGATTGGTTGAAGTTAGACATTAACACCGTTGGATGCCAGCTCAGTGGTTTATCGGTTAAGGGCTTCGGCTCGAGACTGGTAGGTCCTGGGTTCGAATCTCGCTCGCGAGAGCGGGTTCGTGGATGCGCACTGCTGAGGAGTCCCATAATAGGACGAAACGGCCGTCCAGTGCTTCCAGGTTTTCGATGGTGGTCTAGCTTCAATTGACTCATGATTTCAACTGTGAAAATACTAAATTCTCCACAAAACCCTCTCTGATCTATAATCATATGCTCACTAGTGACTGACTTCAAGAGATATTTCCTTGAGTTCTAGTGGGAAGCAGTGGCCAGTGGAGTTCTACCAGGTCTGTTGTAGAGATATCATCTCACTGAGGACAATTGGTGAACGGTCGCTCAATATCGTGGATTGGTTGAAGTTAGACATTAACACCGTTGGATGCCAGCTCAGTGGTTTATCGGTTAAGGGCTTCGGCTCGAGACTGGTAGGTCCTGGGTTCGAATCTCGCTCGCGAGAGCGGGTTCGTGGATGCGCACTGCTGAGGAGTCCTATAATAGGACGAAACGGCCGTCCAGTGCTTCCAGGTTTTCGATGGTGGTCTAGCTTCAATTGACTCATGATTTCAACTGTGAAAATTTAGAAAATAGTTTGGTTTAGATAAAAGTAGGAACTGTCAATCGAAAATGATGAAATGAAATATCCAGCTGTTGTTCGTAGCTTCATTCCTTTTAGTCTCGTCTCCAATTTACAAAATAATATCTGTTTATATGCAATTAAGATAGACTAGTAGCACTACAGACTTCTTATTACCAAATCAGAACACTTTGTTAGTTATAGACTAATAACACAAACCTATCCAGACAAAATATACAGTTACATTAAAGATAGCTTTCTTTAGATTAGATGATAGGGGTAATATATTTTGGCAATTAAAATTATATATATATATTACCTGCTAGCCAAGTAACATACATTTGTAAACATTTTCCGTCGATAGTAAAAATAAATTAAATTTGCTTTAGCATATAAACTGCCTCTGGCTGAAGCTTCAGACAAACAGAATAAAGCATTATCCCAATCTTCTTTCACACCTATCCCATATAAATACATCACACCTAATACGGCTAAATAATAGAGAAAGATAATAGTAAAAAATAAGAAAAGGATAATACATGGTAAATAATAACTTAAAACATTTTACTACTAGCAGTATAGTAAACAAGAACACCAGTGGTGACAATCGGACGTATTTGAATTCAAAATTACAGAACGTCTTACTAAAATCTGAGAATCATACAGTAAATACTTAGTTCGCAAAATGTCAATCAATTGTCTCAAACTTGACTTTTCCTTTTGAAAATATCAGTCAATCGTCTCAGATTTCATTGTTGCTACATTTTTCTGCCAATTACTTTCCGTTTCCGTCCTTTCCTTCTCGATCTTCTACTGAAATGCATTCTATACCTGACTATCTCTGTACACTACTTATGTAGATCTAAGTAGCTCACACACAGGAGTATTTATCATTAGTCAGGATACAAACATAAATTGTTGAAGACGGAATTTAGTTTATATTTTGCGGGTTTTTTTTCAAAACTCGATTTTCAAAACAATATTTCTAAGGGAAACTTAATTGTGAATAAGATGCTTACGTTTTCATGACTCGAAGATCTATTGTGTTTTTTATCACATAGTTATGCCATACTTTAATTTTGTTGTGACACAACGTAAAAAGTTAAAAACACTTCAAACGAAGTATTTAATAAACTTACTCGTATTTAAAATTTAAAGTGGGGCGGGACATGTGAGAATGTGAATACGACATTTCATCACCGCAAAAGGTAGTGATGTTGACCATTAAAAGAGGTTGTGAAATCCGGTGTACACAACTCTATAAGTACTTTAAGCATTTCTGGACTGTTTGTCTACTGAGTCCCAATTATAAAGATACACGGTATAATGATGTTCCAACAAACTAGCACTTATCATTCATGTAGATTTACGTATGAAAGAGGATTTCGAAAAGTTGTAGCGTGTTTAAGAAAACGTTTTTCAGGAGCGCTGAGAAATCTTATGCAGATATGCAAATAATTGAAGGAATCATCAACACCATCAGCTGTATTTATATATTCAAGGTTCTAGATTAAATTCGACAAACTAATTCAGAGCAAAACTAATGGTTCGTACCGATTTAGTGGAGAATCACGTCAGTTCATCAAACCGTAAAAACAACTAGCTCATACGTATGCATCATAATGAAAGATTCTGAATACTTTTATTATTTACATGAATTAAACATTGACAAACCATCAATGTTATCTTCTCATAATTTATTCGTGTTGTTATAACTTGGGGTTTCCCCGTGTGGGTTCGAATCCCATCCCTGTTGCCAATAATAAGTCTTCGAATCGAACGCCATACTCGGATTCTAAGCTATTCTCGTAACCTCCGAGCTAAATCTATACAGCGACTTGAACACGAGAGGAAAGGCGCAAAATATGCTAGAAGCACTTTACTCCAAAGGTTCATTCATGTATAGAAAATATAGGGTTTTTAAAGTATTTAAGAAGCCCTTGGGTTTTCCTGAAAATTCTGGAATGCTACTAAACATAGTAGCAGTGTAGTAATCAGCCGATCAGAAGCTCTACATGTGACTTCTAACTTTCGTAACGTTTCTAGCAAAACTCCTAGTCAACACTGATTGGATAAAATGCTTCTTAACGTTCCCTGAGCCTTTCTTGTCTATTGAGAGAAATTTCCAGGATCGCCCCAACACATGTCTATTTATTTATTTAAACGCTCTGGATTTCACTATACGTGCATCGATCTCATCACTCACGCCACCACCAGCGCTTATGCAGCTACACAGAAGACAGTGGAAGGTGGATTCTTACTTTATTTCCTATACTGTATATATTAAGGCATATGATCAGTAAATAAACGTCGCTAACTGATATATCTAGATTTGAAAAGAAATCTGGTAAACATAAGTAATAATCCTGTTAAATAAATGAATGTACAAAGTGTTGCGGAACCAGATGGAAGACTCAGTAGATGGTATTGGAATGTCGTCAGTAGCCATAGGAATCTGGTTGTAGGCTTTAACCAAGTCGATTTTCGAAAAGACGGATGTACCTTTCAAGACAGCTGTCAAATCGTGAATGCGGGGCAACGGGTAACGATCGGGAATGATTTTAGCACTCAGACGCCGATAATCACCAGTTGGACGCCAATCATTGCTGTCCTTTTTAGGGACCATGTGCAAGGGAGATGACCATGGGCTATTTGACGGTCGAATGATTCCTAAGTCTATTATGTGGTCGAATTCGTTTTTAGCCAACCTCAGCTTTTCTGGAGCCAGTCGTCGTGCTTTTGAGAATACAGGTGGTCCTGTAGTCGAGATGTGATGTGTAACATTGCTGGTTACACAGGGCAATATCGGTTGCGGTTGATATATCCCAGAGTACCTATCCAGTAACGGTTGATATAATGGGTCTATGGAGTGCTTAATGGTGACTGGAAATAATCTACAACCAGAAAGAGGAGTTACGTAAACAGATAACTTAGTGTTTCTGTCTATTAACCTTCGTTTGCGTGTGTCGATGAGTAGATTGTGATATTGTAGCAGGTCTATACCAATGATTGGCATAGAAACATCTGCAACAACGAAGATCCAGTGGATGGGTTTGCGTAAACCCACGTTAAGGTAGACGTACGTTTTACCATACGTGGAAATTGGTTTTCCGTTTGCCGCCTGTAAGCTTAAAACAGACTCGTGAAGCCTGTCACTAGAATTCGCAGGAAGAACGCTAACTTCTGCGCCAGTGTCGACGAGGTAGCGAACTTTCGTCGTCGCATCCGTGACCTATAAAAGGCGGCTGTGTTCGCCGGCTACGGTTGCCGTTAACGTGTGTCGGCTGGGAAGTTTCCTGAGTTTTTTTTCGTGTCGGTCGACTTGGAGTTTGGGCAATTGCAGGGTTTCCTGCAATTTCTAGAAGACTTCCCATACTCGTTATGATACCAGCACCAGTTGGGGTTATCCGTTTCTCGTGATCGAGAGACAGATCGCCTACGTGAAATGCTCCTTCGCAGGGTTTGTGACCGTTTACGGTCATTACACCCACAGCCACTTTTAGCTTGATCTTGTATGGTTATTTTTTATTTTATGGTATGATGAGGTCTGGTTAGCTTGTATATAAACTACGTTTGTCTGAAATATACGATTTATAGAGTGGAGTCTGAGACTGCGTTCTGGACTCAACGGGCGGGGCTAAGTGAGAAGAACCAATAAGGATTCAGAGTTGACTCAAGGTTGCTAGTGCTGGTTGACATATCATTGGTTTAGCACAAGAACAAGGTCATATAGATCGGTAACTTGATTGGCAATTTTGTCACATGATAATTGACAGAGGTAAAAGTCAACAGTTAGACAGAAACAATGATTTAATTAATACAATCGTCGCTACCCTTTACATTAACCTAATGTAAGAAAGTAAACAAGATAAACAACAAATCAATGTAAATGACAATAATAGTGAAAATTTAAATAGAAAGTCTAAGAAAAAAAGTGAAGTAAAAAGATATGAAAGATTGAGGAAATTGTAATCACAAATTTTTGAGAGATTATTAATACGTTTAAATAAAAGTGAATTGGGCATATTGCCTACTACACTGGGCATCTACATCAGTTACGTCTAATTCTAAACTAGGGCATGAACACAGTAATCACATCTCATCTAGTTTTATATATCAAGCGATAATTAACAAAACTTAGTTTTACTTTCATAATAAATGACGCCATGAAATTAAGTTATGAATTTATAGAGAAGATTCATTATACTGAATGATAACACTCTATGAACAGAACAATGCTAGTAGTTAAATTTGCGATCCCATTAGTTAAAGTAGGAAATAAAACCTCTCAACCAGTCAAAAGCCTACTTTATTAAGTAAGGACTGTACTTGACTACAGCTCTTTCCTCCAGTAGGAGCCATCTAAAAAGAAATCCTATTACAATTCAAATCAATTGAAGGCGACGTTATTTTTTCAAAACCACGGGGAAATAAATAAAGTTCCAGACTGTCAGTTTCAGTAGATCCACTTGAATTGATTTTATAGCATCAGCAAAAGGAATTCCAAGCATTACGATTGAAAATGATCGAAATGATGGCAAAAAAGTTGTTAATTCAAGAAAATTCAGTACATGTGTCTAAATTCATGGGCTCAACTACCGGATGGCTGATTAATTCAATCAGCGAGTATTGTAGATGCTAATTACCTCTATATCTGGCTTCAGTAAATATTCTTCCGTTAACTGAGTATTTACGCAGGCCAAATCTCTTATTAGTATTATATATGTACTCGAGATTATTCAAAAGGTAGAATACCAGTTGTAGGGATAATGTATTGTTAATAATTGATAAAATGCGCAAGCAACGCAGAAAACAAGCACACAAGGAAGTGAGAGAGGGTGTAGAGTGCAGAGCGGAACGAACCAGAGTAGGCATATTAGCCGACTCCATTTAATTAATCGTTACTCAATATTTATAGTCAGAACAAAAATAATCTTCAGACATGTGATGAGTAGGATAAGGAATACACACACATACACTCACATAAAAAAGTCAAGGTTGACAAGCGAATATTTAACAAGGTCAAAATGTCACTCAAGAAGAATGAATAAGTTGACCTGCCTGAAAGCTAGAATAAGCTTTGTGGGGTTGATATATTACCCGACACTACAGTATCACTTTGATCCTGATTTTGGCGCAACATATGAATCATGGTTCAAACGACCTGAACACGTTTTCCAAATTACTCTTCCGTATCATATTGACTATTAAAAAATGAGAACTCTAATTAAGAAACTTAGGGCAGCTGAACATGAAAAGTATTCCAAACTTATCTTGCCAAAAAAACTCAACGACTTTTCTTTTAATAATACAGTACAAGAATTAACAGAAATTTTTACTACTTAAACTTCTTTATCTAACTTGAGATAAAATTGTCTTAAAATTGTTAAGAGACTTGAAGATTTTGTTTCCGACGCTGCATATTTGTTAATAAACTATGCGTGAATTTTAGTTCGAGTTCGCTTTCAGACGAAGAATTTAAGTGTCTCTGTATACGGATTGCAATCATCATCAGACTCAGATATTCATACGAAAATTTTAAGAATAGAATTACATCCCAATCTTACGCTGAAAAATATTACAAATGAATGTCATGTTATTAATCTTAAAAATGATACTAAAATGATCAAAGGACCGAATCCCATCCATACATCTGGCATTAATCCTAATTCATTTGATTTGATGAAAATTTCTCACACAGATCGCATCATTAACGTCATAAAGCATGATTAGCGAAACTTTTCTCGCCCAAATTGAATGTCTGACGTCCAGAACTCTAATTCGCGTGCCTTCCCAAGGCCTCTCACAAGTTTATGGCATTCTGGGGCACGACATGTCTCCTGTTTCTGTTCATTTATTAACCACAAATGAAAAACATGCGGAGTAACTGACTATAGGAGGAGATTTCGCAAATGCAGCAAACCTTAATCTTATTATCGAATGTCGAGGAGAATCACCTGTGTATATTGTTCTCGTCGACGGAATTTTCGAGCATTGATCTCCTACCAGGAAGTCCACTTATCGACTTAGAATGTACATATGATACAGTCCTGTTTAGCGAAGACACTGATAAAATGTAGTCTTTTGGTAGCACTGAGCGAAAATGCCAGGATGTTTGGGATGCATTTCTTCCCCTCTAAATGCAAGTAGTTGCTTCAGGACTGGCCTGCGTCAACACCTGAACTAAAGATAGAGAGTGAAGTAGTCGAACGTGTCTACAACTTCACTTATCTTGCAAGTCTAATCGGCCCTAATAAGTTAGTGTCTGACGAAATCTCAGCACGGATTCAAAAAGCTCGTTTGGCTTTTGCCAACTTGCGTCACCTATGATGAAGGCGAGATATCCGTTTATCAATTAACGGACGAGTATACTGCTCAGCAGTTTGTTCTGTTCTACTTTACGGCTGTGAAACGTGGACATTAAGAGTAGAAGATAATCGTAAGTCACTAGTATTTGACCACAGATGCCTTAGAAATATTGCTCGCATCTACTGGGATCACCGGGTAGGTATTAGTTAGGTTAGACAGAGTATTAGGAAATGATGGTAAATCAGTTGATGAGGTCATGAGTATTCATCGACTGAGATAGTTGGGCCACGTGCTACGTATGCCTGAACATTGATTACCACGACGCGCAATGTTGACTAGTATTGGGGATGGTTGGAAGAAAGTTAAGGCTGACCAAACCAAAACGTGGCATCGATGCTTGAAGCCACTAACTTCTAGTCTGAGCCATGTTGACAGATGCAGACTACTTGATTCAGGTCCACGTGATTATTGTAACCAATGGTTCGAGACTCTGGGTGACATGGCCCAGAATCGATCACAATGACATAGGTGTATACACCGTCTGTCTCCTATTAAACCCTGAGGTTAAAATTACTTCATACCTTTCTTTCTACCAACTAATTTTTCCTGTATTATATCCCTATACATAATCTTTCTTTTATATATTACTACCATTGAAGTAACTACTTCTATGAATTTGGTGTTCATCTTGTTGTGCTAATAAGGTGTGGCAACTTGGACCGATGCATATATGTGCCTGATCCTACATTGTAGCTGACTGTCTGAATGATCTTTTTCCAAAATCTAACCTTAAATGCCTAAGCAGTTACGTACCCATTTATGTTAAAGACCGTATCATCACTCTGCAGATGGACACTGCATCCGATGTTACCTTGATTTCTCGCAAAACTTGGTCGGTTTTATAAAGAATGCTTCGGGCATCGCAATTAAAATTCCTAAAATTACCAGATGTATTGTCAAATTGAATGATCAAATCCAAATGTTATGTTACTGATGAATCTTTCAATCTAATGGGTCTTGACTGGATTACAGAATTAAAAATATTGGATTACCTATTTAATCTTATTTGTAATCCAGATTTAGAAATGTTCAACCGGTCATCTAATCTTATTTCTCATCAAGTATCGTCCTATTCTCCTTTTGATGGTCAAGTGAAGGCAGAAGTCTTCGAGTGATTTTCAAAGTGATCACAACGGAGAAAGTCACCTGAAATATCCCTAAATCTAGCCTTACCCAGCAGTGTCTCCTCAGCTGAGTCAATGTTCGGAAGGAAGATTCGGACTTCATTTGACGAGATTACAAGCTGAAGACGAAGAAGGTCGAACTTCAGTTTATTAATGGGTTACCTGTGTATGTAAGAAATTTCAGACAATGGGGGCAGCGTGTGTTATCCTAAGAAGAGTCCGTGACGTGATGTATAAAATTGATGTTCGAGGTAAATGCCTGGTAAGGCATTCAAACTAAATACGCGATAGATAACTAAATTCGGATAAAGAACCTCCTGGCTGGAACTTGCCACTAAATTACTTAATTGATACAGTCAGTCTGGAGCGACAAGATTAGTGCAGAAGAAGTGATGACCAGACTGCAAGAAGACGTTTCCCTCAACGCTTTCAGTTAAATCCAAGGAGCAAGACTTATTTTTCAGGAGAGAAAGGTGATATGGTAAGCCAGTCAGAAGTGCCTAATGAGAAGGTTAATCTATATCAATCAGAAGTGACCTGAAGGACAAGTAAACTTCATTGGCTTTGAGGTAGAGTTTATATATATATATATATATATATATATATATATATATATATATATCAATGAACACTAGTGGGTTTTATTGGGAAGCCCAATATACTCTCTCATCGACTCTTGAGTTTTCGCTCAAGTAGTCAGTTAGGGGTTAGCGCACAGCACGTCGTGTATCAGTATCAGATTTCGGGCACTGCCCGTCACAACAGGTGACATTTCATTTGAATAGGTACTTGTTTTGTGTAATATTAGTCCATTTGAAAAAATGATCAGTCAAAAATCATACTACTTTAGATAGAAAACATCTGATGACATGGACTATTTTCCACTAGAATTATATATTTCTCATATTATCTGTTTAAAATAACTTTATAAGAATAATCATTATACTAGCATATAGAAGTGAACAATAATGCCAGTCCTCAAAACCTATCATAATCAATTTCAGTATTCGATGAACTTACAATACCTAACGTAAGTGAAACCTGAAACTTATGGTACATAACTATTTGAATTATAAAAGTACGAATCTTAAGGAAAATAGTGCTTACTAATTTGGGTTGTTTAAAAACAAAAAGTGTAATGGCTTGAAATTTATATACAAAACTATAAAAATACCTTGCTTTAACTAATTATCTTCTTTAAATCTTGCAAACAATGATACATCTAGAACAGATTTCTGTATAAAACAATTCAAATATTGTACATACACAGTTCACGAGTTTTACATTTCATACAATTCATTCACGTTTCCCACAGTCATTCTCAGTCTTCACACAATAGTTCATATACAGTTAAGGTACAAATTAGAAATAATAAGGATCACTATTTCACCATAAATTCAATGGTTACTAAGAATTATTTAATATGATTGATATTCGTCCTCAATCACCGTAATTTGTCATGAGAATGTAATGAGTATCTTCTCTGTTTTCAAAAGCAATTTCAGTTTCCGAGACCAAGTTAACCAAACTCCATGAAAATATAACACTTAAAAAACTAATTCGATGTTTAGTGATGAAACCTATAACTAATAACTAGTAAATATGGCACTGACCTTGAGATTCGACACTACCATTTCCACAAGCATCAGAATGCCATTGAAACGCTTTTTGTAAATCACAAATTTCTGGTCCTGAATATAAATAGCCAAGTGCTGTTTGAGCTGAAATGCAAGCTTTAGAATCACCATTGTTCGCAGCAAATAAAAAGCACCTGGATTCATTTGAGAAAAAAGTTTTGAGACTATTTAGCTAATGTGTTGGCAATACTGGTAAGGAACATTAGTCTACAAGTAAAAGTACTATCTTTTATACAATAAAAAAATTTCTACTAAGTCAAAAGTTCGAGAACCTATAAGACGTTTAGTAAAAATGGCAAATCGAGAAGTATGAACACATGCAAGAGAACGCGTTCAGAACAGAAATTCGGTAACTTAATGACCGATAACTGAACACACACTAATAAACAAATGTTTATTGAAATGTCAAGTTTTATTAACCTGTATGATTAAACGAAATGGACACCAACAAGAAAGCCTAGTACTTGGTCACTAGTTACTTCTAATTATTCCTTGTATCGAGTGAAACTAGGTAATAAATAACAACAAAAACCTAAGATTTCAAAGAAAATAAATACGTAAGTTTAATTAGTTTCGAATTTGTGTAAACTGATAAACCTTAAACAAATAACGTGGATATTATACATCTAGTTAAATTGCTCTCATAGTGCTAGGATGGTATAGCAACCTGGGACAACTATGATCTGTCTAGGGCTGTACGCAAAGTGACTTTACAGTCGATTTCTAGTGACTGAAAAGTTATTTATAACCCTAAGATATATGTAAGTAAAATCGATAACCAACTATTTTATAAATCGACTACAACAAGAATTTCATGGTTAGATTTACCATTGAATAAATTCTATCCAATGTTTGAACGGTTTTTGCAATAAATTAAAAGTGATTTAGAATTCAGTACTTATCCGCATATCGTAGTTGAAGCTCCAATACAAACCATAAGTCAACGTATTAGTATTAATTTTTATTATTATTAACAACTATCAAGTCGGTAGATGTACAATTTTTTCTAAATAAAAGTACATTCTTTACTGTAATATTTGTACTAATCTAAAAATTCACGGACCAAAAGTACAACGGAAATCTAATACCCGATCTGCCGGATACTGAAATAAACCTTTTCTTCCAAACCAAACGATCATTATACATCTATTTAACTTGCGATTACTAGTATTTTATTCCAAAAAGTATTCGGAAGATGCCTCTGACGGACAAAACAACTTCGCTCAATACAGAGATGATTTTGAGTGGAAATGGATAAATAAATAAACAAATTAGGAAACTAATTTAGGTTAATATGTCACTATATTAGCAGTCTTTTCTAGTCGCTCCATAGAGTTGCTTCATTTATGATCAAACCATGAGCAAATAATATGATTTGTCTGTTATTTGTTTCTGAAAGTTTATAACATTTGAGTGCTTAATTTTAATAATAGTTATCTAAAAATAAAAATAAAAGTCTGATTTGGAAAATTCCCTTCCGAGTTACTGGTTTTAGTCTTCTGGTTATTTTGGTTTTTCGCAATATGAACTGATACGAGTTGACGATATTAAAAATGATCTGTTGGTTGTTTTATTTTAAAAAAGGTAAATTACAAAATGTTATTAACTTGCCACTAAAAACTAGTAACAGAAGTCGTATACATCGCACAAAATTAATGAACCTACTTTTAAAATTCTTATCCGATCAAGGTGAACAATGTTTTAGGGTTTTCTTCTAGCAGTGAAAATATCCGATTCGAGAAGTTGGTCACTATCGTACAAAGCTCTAACAAGGGGCTAAATTTTAAAGTAATGCTCAGAGGGGACCCCACAGATACATTCCGAGTGAAGACTTATGTCAAACGAGACTGCCTACTCTTCCACGTCCTCTTTGTTCTGGTCATTGACTGGATAATGTAGACCACATCTCAGGCAAACCACAGAATACAGTGATCTTGGACACAGAAAGACAATCTGGATTTTGCATATAACAGTTTTGCTATCCTATGCATAACAGCAAACATAGAGAAAGAAAGTCAGTCTAGAAGCAGCTTCCGCGACAATAGACTTCAACATTCACGAGGTAAAAAATGCAGTAAAGTGAACACCAACTAAATCACACTTAATGGCAAAGCTCTAGAAGAGCTGTAAGCCTTTATATACTAAAACACCATCACTAACAAACAAAAAGAATCTGATGTGGGTCTGAAAGCACTAATTGGCAATGCACGAGTAGCATTCCTACGGTTGAAAGATTAATGGAACCTGAAAGAACTATCACTAAACACCAAAGTCAAATTTTTCAGCACTAACTCTAAAAACATCCTATTGTACGAAAACGAAATGTGGAGAAATTCCATCATCACTAAAAGTGTACAGGTATTTCTCAACAATAGTTTATGCAATAGATACAGGATTCAGTATCCATATATTATCAAGAATAATCTATTATGGCACAAAACAAACCAGCTGTCACTTGAGCAAAAAATTAAGAAAGGATGCTGGAAGTGGATTGGAAACATTACAGAAACCATTTAACTGAACCACAATTCGAGCTCTAACTTGGAGTACTCAAGAGAAAAGATAAAGAAACAGAAAAATACGTGGTTCACGGAATCGGAGATATACATCATGTTAGGGTTCGAAAACAAAATCTAGAAACAATGGGTTAATAAGCAGTGAACCTAGGAATGGTCAATAGTATTTTATCGACAGTATATCTCTTGCACGTGTGTAGGCACAAAATGACTTGAAGCGAATGGTAAGAGATTCCTTGAAAGTAACTACCTATTGCAATCCAGCTAATGTCAAACATTTCCGAGCGTTATGGTCGCTGCGTTGAGCATACAAATGCGTTGACGAATCAATCTTTCGGGTTTTACACCACACCTATATGAGACCTCACTGAGAGTATCACATTCAAGCAGCTAGTACATATCTAACCAATGATGCTACCACAATCGAGAGTGCTTAACGCATGGAAACTGAGTTAGTGATCGATCCTTTTAAACTCTCCCGAGATAGGCGCTCAAAACTGTTAAACATTTTGCCCCAATCGTAGAATTCCAGATGACCTTATATTGGCATTCCGTATCTCGAATGGCGATTTGAATTTTATCATGTCGTATCCTCTTGTTTCCTTCAGAATCAATCATATCTGAATCCGCACCAAGAAGGTTCAAAAACTGCGACCAAATACACTCGGAGTGGGATTCCGTTTTCTTCATTGAGCTGACAATGATTGGAATGCCCTACTCGAACAAGTAGTATCAGCCCTAGCAGTAAACGCCTTTAAGGAAAAGCTGGAATTTTAGTGGACAACGAGCTGTAAGGGTTACATATATCAGACAACCTACTACATTTAGTTTTAAATGGGTCATCATGTAGTCCTCATGAATGAAGTTGCTTAGTGGATAACGCTTCAGGATCAATCTAAAGACGCATAGATATTTTACTCGCATGACAATCAGTGTGTTCATCACGCCAAATACAAATCAAGAACATATATACAAAAACATTCGTTTACTTGGGACTACATTCCTATAATAACACTCCATAGACGCACCTCAAAGCATCTTCCGTCGATGAACATACTCCGTAGCCTTGGTAGTATGCTCTCCCAAGATTAAAGGCTGCACTAAAAACCAAGTTTCTTTGGTCGACGGGTGAAGCTATTTGGACGTCCAAGGTCATAATCTCCTTAAAAAATTCACAAGCTTTAGCCTGATGTAGTAACTATGAATATGAAAACTACTTGTGGGTTTGAAACTTTCGTCACGTCTTTACTAACTAGATTATCATACAACATTATACCGAGTTGGAACTTTGATTTCTGATCATTAAACTTTTCATAACCCATTCGGAAGTAATTCCACGCTTCGTTATATTTCTCCTGATTTTTCGGTTAAATTCTGTTTACCACGCTTACCTTCTCGAAGTAAATCTGACCAAGATAGAACGCACATTGCTCATCACCTTCATCTAACCACCTTTTCAGTAATGTTTCCAAATTTTCACCAATTACTTGACGATCGTGAATTTTTTCGGCCTTGAGCGTTCCATTTGAAATCACATTTCTCACTGTTTTAGAAGACAAAAAATCTATCTGTTCATGCCGAATACTCTCAGGAAGACCACTTAATAACTCCATCAATTAAAATATTGAGTGATTGTAATAGAAACGGAAGCTGAAAATTGATGTATTAAAAGCAACTAGTGGTCAGTTGTAAGCATAAGAGGTTGGTTGGCCTGTGGTAATAAGGTATTTGTACTGACTGAGGATTATTTTGTACATGGTTCCGAGATTGCATTTATTTCCAAATTCAGTACGTCCAGTTTTCTTCACTGGGTTCTCGTGGACTCTATACTACTTTAAACTGTAATCCTGACTAGTAAGCAGAGATGGATGGTGGCCAGCAGTGGAATCCAAGACGCGCGTTTCGTCCTATTTGGGACTCGTCACCTGGATGTACCTACATCTCAGAGTTGATGTTCACTCTGGGACTAAAACCCAGTACCCTCGCTTTAAACGCCATCGCGTTATCCACTCGGCCACTGAGTCCTGATAGCCACTTGCTTGTGCTATGAAGTTAAGTTTAAATTCACTTAGTATTGTTTTGTTTGAATCTTCCCATCGATGTGTTAGGACTGCAACTGGTCAGTCTCTAATTGGCATATGTGCATACTGTGCGTATTGCCTCAATATAGCCTTAATTCACAAGCATAGTAAGCAGAGATGGATAGTGGCTGGGTTCAAGTCCCAGAGTGAACATAAACTCTGAGATGCAGGTACATCCAGGTGACGAGTCCCAAATAGGACGGAACGCGCGTCCTGGATTCCACTGCTAGCCACTATCCATCTCTGTTTACCATGCTTGTGAATTAAGGCTATATTGGGGCAATACGCACAGTATGCACATATGCCAATTAAAGACTGACCAGTTGCAGTCCTAACACATCGATGGGAAGATTCAAACAAAACAATACTAAGTGAATGTAATCCTGACTGTCAGAAGCTCCATTATTTTCGGTGATCATACCAGTGCTGAGGTAGGGCCAGTTCTTAAATAGTTTGTGGCAGGAAATAATATCCCAAAAATAAATATTTATACACGTATTCGACATCGATTCTCGCCTCATTGGTTTTACTGGCCACACTCTTGCTGAAGGCGCTCAGTCACGCATCCACACCCTTTCTTGAGTGGGCACATCGCATACCTCACAAATGTTAGTCAGCTTAGACCAGATACTTCTCAACATTTCAATACCTCCAGAAATATATCTTCAAACCCATTCATTTCTGAATGTTTATCTGACTGGGTTGGTATACTTCGATTACAAGAGTGCTACGAGCAAAGATGTTGCTAAACTCCGGATATTTGCGCATTTTCAGCGTATTTGCATGAATATCCTATCAAAATGGTCACTGTTCTTACCCACTTAATAACCTTACTTAGGTAATATTTTGTCTGCAAATATATGTCTCAAATTATTGATCATGATTGTAAAAACGGCATGACTGCTTTGCATTAATATCATTCATAACGTTATTCATTTTGTGCGTGCGAATTTATCCCCTTTTTCTGTTTTATCACGTACCAACCGAAATGAGTAACTTATTGCAGTAAATCCCGAAACAGTTGAAACATTTTCATTCTACCTGTAAGCTGTCATGCAACGTGCAACATACTGTCATACGGAAATAAATTACCATTTGTATCAGAATCAACAATGTGAATCAGTACAAACTTCTTTGGTGTCCAGAACTACATTTAGTCGGCATATCCACTGTGTAACTTTAAATCATCCGTATTTAGAACTAAAACCACAGGTTTTCCAACATTACTCACCGCGACTCTCGTGGCTAAACGAAAGTCTTCCCACGATAATTTATAACTCCTGCAAACTCTAAACTCTTCATGGTCGAATGCACAATCTTCCCCTCCAATAATTCTTGTGAAGTTGTAGTGACCTTCTTTTCCCGACGAGAACGCGATTGGTATAATGGAAACAATTATTATTATAACCAATTGTACCAGTGATTGTTTTACTGTACTCGTTTTTGTTGAACTGTATCAAAATCTCTTCTCGTTCTGTTGCCCATCTTCTTCATTCGAACATTTTTACGCTCTGCCCTTATTGCCTGTACTCGTTGGCACGTCTCGGTGTTCATTCGATACCACGAGATCGCCAATAAATATACTTTATCTGGACCAGTTACAGTTTTCTGGTTTACGAGCTATCAAAGGAACCAATCGAGTTTTGGGTGCATAATCTTACTGTATTGGTGATCATAGTCAATCTAGACTCGACGCCATCTAAAAGGTATATTTTGCTGCCAAATGTTTAGCATTTTTATATTGTAGCAGAAATATGTCAGCTTCCCTCCTCAGCTCATGGAATGTTGCAGCAGCAGTAGAATTATTAGTGATTTGTGAAGTCCTGATGAAATGTTGTCCCTGATAATTGGAGCAAGTGTGTTTGGAGGCAGTGAAACATTATTTGGACTCCATACCATTCAATCAGGTAGTAACTGCGCCGGAGATAAAATAAGAGACATTATCAGTCACTATCACCTTGAGAATCCCTTCGAGACTGCACACCTATATCAGTGCTTGTATAGTGACGTTATAATTCTATGAATTCGTGAAAAAACTCCAGGGTTACTTAAATATTAATCGCTGACAACAAGTTCATTGTTTTATTACTAATTTATTATGCAAAATACCTCTTCAAATCGTGTTTCTGACGTAGGTTTCTCCTCCTACCGAGTAATCCTATTACAAGCAAAAGTAGACAATTTGATAAAAACGAAGCCTGCTCATTACCCAGTCAAATCAATAAAATTAAAAATGTGCTGAAACAGCCTCCACAAAAAAGGGAGAAAGCCACTTGTGTTTTAGAATACTGTTTTCAGTACTGTATTTTAAAACCTCACACATAATCCTTTCAGCTTCTTCTTGAACTACCTACATTTATAAGCTCCTTTGTCCAAACCAGGCTTACTAATCATTCACCCGGGTTGTGAGCAACAAATACGTCAAGCTAATAATAAACTGGAATAAACGCTATGTAACAAGCACAAAGATTACGAAAATGGAAGTGTGATAGAAAAATGCTGTTACTAGCTGATAAATAATCACATGCGAAATCCTCGACAACATGTAACACATGAGCGTGAACCAGTGGCGTGATTTTTCGACCATGCCATTGCATGTCACAACGCACCTCCATAAAGCGCACCAACTGTAATGTTGACAATACGAATCTTATTAATATTATTTGCATTCATATGTGAGAAGTGTTATCCCCCTAATTTTATGATCAATGTACCTTATAAAATATCAAACTAACTGAGTAACCCACCACAATGTAGGCTGTATCTTCCGTAACAATTTGATCTTGTCTGTAAATTGGCCCGCCTCATGCAACCAACTGTTATTTAAGAATAAATTATCTTTGTTATTATAAACGTCAAAATTAGGTTATCTCATAATTCTCGGTGAGAGTGTTCAAACTTCTTAAGCTGCACTAATTATGGTTAGGCTCAGACTTCAGGAACTGCAAAGATAAACCCGTATTTCTTTCAAAACATTCGAGTCACTTGAACAGAGGTTTGAAACCTGGGCTTGGTTTTCAATTTCGGATATCATTAAGACTGTGTACACTAATGTGGATATATTTATATCCAGCGAGGCTAATTTCCACCTTTTAAATGTTAAGCGGTATGGCTGTGAACCAAGGTCGCAAAGTATCAACTCATCATTCCTCCCAAGACATCATGAAACCACACTAAGGGTATAGAAGCCTCCCCGATCATGTCTACTTAGTTTTGTGTGTCTAGGGTGCTTATATTTACACCTGACTTCTATGTTATGGACAGAACACCACATAAACCGGCGAACCAGAAAGACTGAGCCAGCGTGGACTGTATTTGTATCATCCATTAGAGTTCGATAGATCTTGATTTTGTGCAGAAATTAGCGGACCTAGAAGGACCTGTTGTGATACTTTACCAACTATTGATTCCAAGGATGAGCATCTAAAATTGATTCGAGCTTTCTATCGAGGGCTTAGCAGACAGTTTTTATTCTGAATTCTCAGAGACTAATCAATAGTAGATTTTTCAACTTCAATATACGTTCACTAAGCTACACATTATCAAATATTTTGTTGAAGTCGTTGTCATCTACACTTTCGGTTTCCATCAGTAAAGAATACTGCCATTTTCATTCTGCTAGTAAGAAGTTATTTGCACAACAAATCCCTTTTCTAAAGTCTTGTTACTCAACATTTAAAAAGTCGTTACTTTTCATGATAGTTATAGCATTGCTTTGGATGCTTCTTTGAAGTACGTTATCTAAGACCTTGGTGAGACTGACAGATCTGTAGTCCGTCAGAAGTTGTTCTGATACTGTCTTACGGATTATAATGGGTACTAGGTAATTTTAATCCTCAGGTTATTCACTCCAGCTTTGTGACATCTTGAATATTATAGTACGCGAGGTAGTAGTGCAAAACTATAATTTACCTCGGAATTCTATGGTGTGTCCCATCAGGTCATATTGACTTTTCAGTATATATAAAATATCCATTGCTTTAACAAATCATTCGAGTGGAAATCCATATAAGACAGAATATTTGATGGCCTTGCTTCTGAGATAAGCCATTCGTTAAGAAGGTACTCATAAATGAAAACCTTTCGGAAGCCACCACTTGAAATTCACTCCTATGGAAGCTCGAAGTAGGAACGTTAGGACGAGTTCCATAACCGATTTATGGGACGCATTTCGTCTTTCCCCTGGTTGTGCTATACGCCGTTTTATTTCCATACTTTCCCTAAGCTCCACGAGTTGTGTTTATACACATATTTTGGGTCTACTTGCAAAGTAGAACTGCAGAGGTTATAGCAAGATTTATGGTGGCATTCCAGCGTTTTTAGTTTGTAACTGTTGAATTTTCTGGCCTATAAAGAAGTGTCATTGCTTCTTATCATTTGAAGCCGCCCTCGTTATGAACTGATTAGTACTTTGATCGTCCAATTGCCTAAAAGACTAGCATCGCCCAGCGAAATCTATTAAATTCAAGCTGTACAACAAAGGCTAGATACGGGAGAGTTGCTACTGTACTCCAGTTACGAAGTGGAAAATGCTGCACACACTCAGAGAGTTGCTCTAATGCTGTCCAACGACACACGTGACGCACTTATAAGTTGGAAACCTCACAGATTCAGAATCATCAAAGCATCCTTAAAAAAGAAGGGAATCATGGTGAATGTTATCAAGTGTTACGCACCTACCAATA